AGTGAAAAGATTTTGTCAAAGTGTGTTGGATTCATTTTCCTTCAATTCCACTGTTTTGAACATTTATATCACTTATTTTATATATACATTTATAAGATTTTCCTTATGGCATTGTCAAATTTACTTTACAAATTACAAATTTAGAAGCTTTAAGTTCCTTTACTTAAATTCAGACATTTCAATAAGATTCAAGATTTTAACGACACTTTCTATCGACGTAAGTTATTCGGTTGAACTTCTTAGTAAATTCTTACTATTTTTTAGTTGCTAGCTATTTGAATATTACTTGCTATCTGAAGGCTGTCCTGTTGCTTTATTCTCTTGGTGTTGGCTTTCAGTAAGATTGCAGATGGGTTGAAAAGAGAATGCCAGTTTTAATTCTTACTTAATTCCATTTAACTGCATTTTCCTGTTCTGACTTAAGTAAAGATTATTCAAGGATTAGGAGTTGTGTGTGTGTGTGTGTGTGTGTGTGTGTTTTCTTAAAAAGTATAAATTTTGTGCCATGGCATTAAAAAAAACTAAACCTGCATTTTTTTTTTCTTGTAGAATTTCATATAATAGTATGTGGACTGGACTCTATCATAGCCAGAAGATGGATAAATGGCATGCTGGTAAAGACTTAAGCGTTATGGTTCTCTGAGGTTCTTGCTGTTGCTCTCAATGCACTAAAAGTTAGAATTGCATATCATATTTTTGAAAAATCAGAGTTTATTTAATTTCCAGTTAAGTACTTGTACTTCTTTTTGTTTATTGCTGGTCGTTTTCAGGCAAGGACATAAATGTTAATATCATAATCCTTTGATATATTAGTACTCAGTAATGCTATTGACTTGTAGAATTACTTGATAGCATGCTTTTTTAAAAAAATTCTTATTCCCCTCTCTTTTTAAACCCTTCAAATAATTTTCCTAGATATCTCTTCTAAATTATGAAGATGGTGTATTAGATCCAAGCTCCATTGTCCCTTTGATAGATGGGGGGACAGAAGGTTTTAAAGGAAATGCCCGGGTGATTCTACCTGGAATGACTGCTTGTATTGAATGCACACTAGAATTGTATCCACCACAGGTAATTCAGAAAGTACCTGCATTTATTTTATAGTATCTTGGGATGGAATTAGGGTTGAAATATTGTCTCTTCAGTATTTAGGATTTTTATTTAGAGGTAACCATATTTTAAAAATCATACTAAGAAGAAAGATGATAAAATATGAAATTCAGCTCTATTTGAGGAAAGTAATGGACCGAATATCATAGCTATGATACTATTATTTTGATAATCCATTTGTATTTTTATTTTGGAGAGTAGTGATCAAAGGATCAATTAAAAATTATATATGTTGAGATAGAGTTATAATCTGTTTTCTTCTGTTTTTGCTTATGGTTGTTTCAGAGAAATAAATACCAGGGTGAGAATGATCTTTATGAAGGTGGGGCTCTTTAATCTACAGACCCACTTTCAAGGACGGTTGGAATTTTGGTTTCTAAATGTAATAATTTTATGCATATTTACTTGGGATTAATTTAACTTTGGATTTGCTTACATTTTATTTTTTATCTTCATTTAATGTCAAGTAAATATAAAATGCTCATTTGAGAATTTATTTAGCACTGTCTTCTTGTGGTCTAACAAACTGAAATTTATATACATTGTAAATGTAGGGCAAACCTATTTTTATAGTCAGATCAGCCTAAGTGAAGTGACTCAGATGCTTTCTCTTAGTTTTAGAAATATTATGGTATAACAGTTTTGTTTCTATAAGTGGAAGGCTAGGATGAATTATAAGAAACTTGTTACAAACTAGATCATAATTAGAAGTGACATTTAAAAATGATTCATTGTTTTAAATCTTCTAAAAAGGGCAAACTATGGTTTTAGGTTAATTTTCCCATGTGCACCATTGCATCTATGCCCAGGCTACCAGAACACTGTATTGAGTATGTAAGGATGTTGCAGTGGCCCAAGGAGCAGCCTTTTGGAGGTAATAAACCTAATTTCATAATCCAGAATATAGACTATTCATCTGTATTATTCATTTGGATAATTACATTAAACACAAAACGATTTATATTTACATGTTTCTCTCTTTTTTTCCCCCCCTAATAGAAGGGGTTCCATTAGAGGGAGATGACCCTGAACATATTCAGTGGATTTTCCAAAAATCCCTAGAGAGAGCATCACAGTATAATATTAGGGGTGTTACATATAGACTCACTCAAGGTAAGTTAGTGATTTGTAATGAATTACAATCTGGCGTGATCCTTTTTTTAGGGGCTGGCAGTGCTTTGGAGGAAATAATAGATAAGTGATTGACCATATCATCCATTCAAAGTTAGTAAAGGTACCATGAAATAGTAGTTTCCATGTGTCCCAAAGT